ACTTGCTTCACAACCAGATGCCGGTGAATCACAACCAGATGCCGGTGAAGACTGGTTTGGCCGAAAAATATACTCCGCCTCCTTCTATGGTGGTGATAACACAGACTGACTACTTTAAATCAGTGGAATAGAAATCCAAACTTCTTTCGTAACACAGCCAAAACGACACAAGCCTATTGGCTCTGATACCATGTAATTGAATGGAAGATGTTATCTTATTCCAGTAGGTGAACAGTGAATAAATACAATACATAAGGTGCTAACTAAGGAAAGAAATAAAGAGTGATTCCTACAGATCTGCAGTGATCCCTATAAATCTGCTGCCTATATATAGCTATGTATATTACTAAGATTAAGTCTATATACATTCTATAACAATTATCATCAAACAAGTATGGCATGTACCAGCTGTTGTGCACAGATATTCAATTGAAGAAGTCTGTGGATCCAAATCCTGAAAGAAATATCAGCATTCATAAGCATCCACTATAAAGCATGTATACGGGTTTTACTGTCACAATTCAAAAACTATATGTTTAAGATAGCACTATAGCTTAACAAACAGTAAACCTATTGCTGAGATATGTGCTAATCTTACCATTGCGACCAAAGTCTTCTCCCTAGGTGTGATGGGCACTTAGGATTACAAGTGACCTCAAGCAAACCCCTGGTATTGGCATGCTGCTAACGAATAACTGAACCTTTTATATAATGCAAGAGGAAGTTGAAACATGACCAACTAAAAGATGCTTAAATTTAAGACATTGAAATAACATCATATCCATGGAAAATTACTGAACAACTAATGTCTGATAGTAAGCCTCTATTGTTTGGAATGAAATAAATATTGCCGGGACATGCCCCCTATCTACCTTCAAAGCAAGTACTGTCTAAGGTAAAAACCTAACTACTGACTACTCTATGAAGTTCTTGAATGAGGACTCACCAATTGCAGATTGAAAGTGCTGTAACCTGTCTAGCCACGAGTCTTAGAGCGAACGTTTGAATCTACATCATAATAGGATGCAACACAGAGAAAAATATGTGGTCAGTACGTGGAATGTAGTCAATGTATTGAATATATAGGGTGACACTAAGCATATATCATTTCTGGTAACAACATGCTTTCAAAGATTGATGAGTTGCAATAATCATGAATATATGAAATAGATTAAGGAACATCTTAAAACCGGTGTATAAAGATAATATAGGAATTTGCTTTAAAAGTATGTAAAAGTAAATCTATTTCTATTGCTCTGAACTTAAAATACATCTAAACTACTAATCTGAGAAATCATGCTGAAAATTAAAGTGTAATAAAATAATGATACTATAAGTGGGGAGCTTCTTACAATCGACATATACCTTGTAAGCTCATGTTGTTCAACGTATAATTTCAGTTGAGAGAGTTGCCCTATACCTTACTAGGGTACATAACCTATCTATCTAATGTGGATTCGCTATTGAGCTTCTTGGGCATAAAGAAGCTGACCGACTCATGGTGTGCTCAGATCCTACAGTGGCACGTAGTTAGGGGGTTGGTTTTCTGAATGCGTGTCCTCTCGGTGCTAAATAATCCTCCCAAAATAATTTGTATATACTAATATGCTCATAAATAGATAAACTATTTGTCTGTCTCAAGTATGAGATTTTGCTCAAAATCATCTTTCAAATAATCTATACTGAAATTGAAATCTGCATGATGCTGATTTTCATGCTTGGTTAGAATAGGAATAAGTTTATACAATCCTATTAGAATAGGATTAGGTTTATACAATCCTATTAGAATAAGAATAGGTTTATACAATCCTATTTAGAATAGGAATAGGAATAGGAATACAAATAGAAATAGGAATAGTAAATAGTATCCTACTTGGTAAAAGATTGTATTCTAGTGTCTATAAATAGAGTCTCAATGTAATAATGTAGGCAACAACAACAATTCAATAATATTTTTCTCCTATATTTCTCACAGAAAGAAACTGTAGAAATCGTGCTAAGCTGGCTCAATTAGGTTTTAGAATCGAGTACATAAATCAAGAAGAAAAGCTTATGATGGAATTGCATAATTTGAGTAAAACCCTACCTTGGATTCTAAGAATTTTGTAGTAATCTTTGAAAGAAATTACAACTTTGGCATGAGAGTGAAAGGATACTCTAAGGTGTCATTTGGTAGGGTGTATAAAAATAGTGCTAAATAGAGTATATTGATAATGCTTGCGTTAATCATACATAGATTATTTCTCATGCGTTATTCGGTTTGGTGTATTAAAAATAGCTTGTACTGCATAAGAATATTTATTTACAAAGATGCCCTCCACAATCATGGTGGAAAAGATGTAAAAAGGTTTCGAGGGATAATTTTTTTTTTTTAAAATGGTTTTTGAGGGATAATTGAGTCTTTAACCATGCTAATTGATGCATTAACTCCCCTTGTATTACTCATACCTAGAAATCCATGGCATTAGTAATACACACCTTAATACACAATACAGTGTATAACCGTGCAAGCATTAGTTATACATAGCATAAAAAGGTGTACCAAACAAGATATTACTAATACACAGAGGCCAGAGCTAATGCATACATTATTTTGATTAATACACTCTACCTAAGTACCCCTAATTGGAATCTTTCATACCTGAGAGAACAAGAGTTCTTAAGAGGAACTTGATCAAAAAGCTTGAAACCCTAGACTTAGCCTTTCTTGAGATGTATTTTGAGTTTGGGGAGTTGAGTGCGTAGAATAATAGAGATATTGAGTGCTTAATCTTATACTTCCCTGGTGCTAAAATGTCGTGGTTTAGGTTTAGGAAGGTAAGGAAAATACCCTAAAGTACGAGTCGTACTATCAAACTATGACTTGTACTGATGACTCATAGTATCCTGGGACTGAAATTTTTGATTGGAGCGTCTCCGGTAAAACGATCATAACTTTTTCCTCCGGACTTGAATTTACGAACGGTGGGTGGCATTGGAAAGAAGACTCAACGACTTTTAATTTGGTATGGAATGGGACACATAACTATTCATATTCTAGGAGATATACTCTTTTAAAGTTTTACCCAAGTAAAAACTTGTACCAAAACTCAATCGTAAAGAAGCTTTCAATTCAATTTTGTGCTAGAGGATTTTTCTAATCTTAATTTACCTCCAAAGCTATTCCCATACTAAAGAATTGACCTTAACACTTATGCACAAGTAGAAATCATGGGGTTCAGGCCTATACGCATATGGAGAATGATTTGGGCCTTGGCTTAGAATTTGCGGGGTGTTACAATAGGCTATAGCAGGTTCCATGAAGTTAAGCAGACAAGCAATCACCAATGAGTTTTCTGACCTCCCGGCATTCATCCTTAGGTCTGCTGGTTCCGTTTTTCTTATCTTTCCAGTTAGGTGCTCAAGTTTCCCTCGACCATCAATTACCAAATGGACAGATTGCACTGATTCCAAATAATTCTTGCCGATCAGCCTATGAGAAAGTACAAATGAGGAATCATCGCCTTGGTTTATCGTTGTCTCAGCTGGAACTTCGTTAGCATAACTCTAGACTTATTGATGTTGCTGAGTGACATTGCCCAACAAATGCAATTTTAACAGCACAAGACAAAGTTGCTCTCATATCATGTCAGTTTTGATACCAAAAATGCTCTATTCTATTCATCTGTAGAGGTAAAAACTTATAGAAAAGAGAAAAAAAGATTAGAAAGCTAGTCTCTTAATTCTAGGAGATTTGAGTTTCAAGGGATGATTTCTGTGTTAGGATTCTTAGAGAAGGATCGAGTCACAGGACGATGAATAGGAAAATCTAAATCAATTGACTTTGACTTTCCCTTGCCTTTGTTCGAATTCCTAGATTGACCTATTTTTGTATATAACTTCAGCTCATTGAAGGGAGACTGAAACCTTAGAGTTCAATGTAAGAGAGAACTCCGATCTCTTGCTTTTTACTAAAATATGACTTACCGATTTATTCATCAAAAGCCCCTTTAAATAGGAGTCTTATTACATCAATAGGAAGTCTAATTCTTATGAAAGTAGGAGACCTAAATCCTATTCCAAACTAATAACTAATAACTTAACCTAATCCTTATAAAACTATGAAATATAAACCCTATTTTAGAATAATAAATAAAGCTACTAAAATACTTAATTTAAGGACTTCCAACACATCCACAACATTACCCCCTCTTACGTTGAAAGAGCTTGTCCTCATGCTCGAATTTCGGGGCTATCATCCAGAAAATCTGGATCAGTATCAACTTATCCAATTCCGGCCCTAGCTTGAAGTTAACATTGATAAATTTCAACTCTATCAGAATAGTTAGTCACAATTATAGCATAATCCCTTAACTCTTCTCTCTGCCATTTCTGCACGAGTTAATCGCTTGACCAAAGGGCTCTGGTTGCTGGTCTTGGTATTAAATGAATCGACTGAACTCGTAGCAGATTTTGCCAAGTTTACTGTGCTGCCGAGACTTGTTTTGGACTGCTGCCCTTTTTGCAGTAGTTGTTTTTGCTCTAAAGCCCTGGCTACACTCATAGCCGTTGATAAGTCAGGTGGTTTGAGCAATTGCACGTCCAATTTGATTGAATCATCTAACCCTGCCATAAATATTCCCACGTGCAAGTGTTCTGGAATAAGCTCATCAGCCCTAGCCAACTTTTCTTGAAACTGACGTTGATAAATTTCAACTCTACCAATTTGTCGAAGCGTGACCAATTCACCTACCGGGTTGCTGCTTTCAGGAGGTCCAAATCGCTGGAAACATTGTTTTTGGAAGTCTTCCCAACTCATTGGCCCCTTCGCTCATTTAAGCTGATAATACCATAATTGTGCTTCTCCCAACAGGTGAAATCCAGCCACTCCAACCTTTTCTGCATCTGCTGCATGTTGATTTTCAAAAAAATTGCTCACAACGATATGCCCAAATCAGTGGGTCGTTGGTGCCATCATAAGTGGGAAAATCCATTTTTGCATACCTTGGTATTATCGAATTGGAATTACCACTAGTTTGATGATTATGATCAGTTGGTTGAATAGGCAGTGTATTGCCTCTAAGAGCCGGATTTGTTGATTTACCAATTGTCTGGGCATTACTTGATTCTGCCCCATGGACTACTGGTTTTGTAGAGCCAATTCCCAGGCTAGAAAATTGTTCTTGAATAACTTGGACAATTCTTTCACCGAGACGTTCCATAGCTGCAAGTTTAGAGTCCATTAGTGTTTCTGTAATCACACGTTCTTCTTGAAACCTAGAATTGATCTCATTGCGAAATTTGGAACTGATCTCATCGCCCATTGTGTTAGGCTCTGATACCAAATTGTTATGATTCTTAGAGGGAAGGATCGATTCACAGGGCGATATATAAATCAGCTCGTTAAAGGGAGGCTGAAACCTTAGAGTTCATTAAAAGAGAGAACTCCGATCTCTTGCTTTTTACTAAAATATAACTTACCGATTTAATCAAAAGTCCCTTTAAATAGGAGTCTTATTACATCAATAGGAAGTCTAATTCTTATGAAAGTAGGAGACCTAAATCCTATTCCAAACTAATAACTATAACTTAACCTAATCCTTATAAAACTATGAAATATAAACCCTATTCTAGAATAATAAATAAAGCTACTAAAAACATAAGTAAATACTTAATTAAACACATCCACAACATTCTGCCTGATTTTATTTTCTAGAATACTTCACAACCTAGCAAATCTGATAAATCCATGTAGATCCAACAAATCCAATTTTATCACAGTTGATCATAATCGGCTATTCACAAATCAACAGAAGGTTATAAGATGCTTTAATCATATATAATAAGACATGATCGTAGATTATAGGGTGTTAGAATACTATTACCTATATAGGTGAACAAAGCTGTACTTAAGCTTAAGAGTTGATTTCTGATGGCTGCATAATATTTTCCTTAGAGTTTATTCATCTTGCCGGATTAAGTGTTTTTGTTACATAACGTTCTCTCTTTTACAGCTCTTCAGTTTTTGCCCACATCTGGTATCTTTAACCCTATAAATTGCTCACTGTGTCAGCATTCTGTGCTTTATATTGAGTGGAATCGGTGGTATGCTTGTAATCTGCTGTTTGACTATGCTCAATTTTATCGATCAAGCTGGCACTAAAGAGAGTTTCACGAAATCAGGAGGTATTGCTAAAGTTCTGTAATATTTGCAGTCATTATTAATGTCACTCACCGTATGAACATGCATAACTCCTTTACTTGGAAATATCTGTAGTCTACTGGAGAAACAGGCTTCAGTTATACTAGATAAAATATGTTTTTATGATATGGAACTTAATTGTGTTAAATAATACTCGCTCCGTCCCATTTTATGTGGCACCCTTTGACTTGGCACGGTGTTTAAGAAAAAAAAGACTTTTGAAACTTGTGGTCCAAACAACCCAGTATAGTGCTTGTTAAGAAAAAAATACAAAGTATGATTGTTTGCAGTGCATCCTGCTGGAAAGAAGTTTTTAACTTGGTTCTATTTCTAAAATATCTCACACTTTTAAATGTATTTCAAGCTCCCCTTGCTTCATATCAAATAAGCATTATGAGTAGAGAGAGCATACTAAAGAATTTGGACATGAATTCTCTTATTATTTTGCTCTCTACTCCACTGATTAGCTAATTGACTGGTTTTTGTCCTAAAAGTGCATCACAATGTCATTGAAGTATTTCCAATCTGTTGTCTTTTTCAGGTTTCATGTGTCCATTTGTGCCTTTCCTACCTGTAGCCAGTGTTCTTATAAATACATACTTGTTATTAAATATTGGGTAAGTCCTCATATTCCTTTTCTTATCTTAAGAACTAGTGAACTTGTCAAATATGCATGCGAATTACTAAAAATGCTAACTGCAGAGCTCAAACGTGGATACGTGTTTTGATATGGCTTGGTGTGGGAGTTATCATATACATATTTTATGGCAGAGGACATAGCTTATTGTTTGATGATGTTAGAAGGCCTATTACACATACTAATGATGATCATGCAGATGCAACATTATCTTAGGCTAACCTCATGTATCAATTCTGTACAATATCAACTCAAACCAGGCATGAACCTTGGTTGTAGAACACCAAAAAGTACTATATACTTGTGAATTATTATTGTAAGATAGAAAAATTGCAGAAGACATGATGCTGATAGCCATATAATGTGGTGTATATAATCATTCAAATTGCCTCTAGTTAATTGAGGCCTGCTGATAGCATTATCTTGTATTTTTCTGATAAAGATGGAGTTGGTTCATAAGTTTAGGGTGAATAAAGTTGGGTGTCTAATATTTATTCTATATAGACTATAATGCTAATGATAAAAGTTAATTAGTACTTGGTTAGCATGCTCTTTTCTTAAGTAGATCTAAAAGGACTCGTAAAGAAAATGATAATACATTTGTTCATATATTTCAATAAAATATAATAAGAACATTTTTAGTTTTTTATTGCATTGTAACTTCTATTAATGCTTGTAAATAACTATATCCATAAATATTTAAAAGAAATAAAGTTTACCCTTGGATTAAGCCTAATGACAACGCAGGAGAAGTTTTAGGACAAAGTTAGTTATTATTTGTTTTAAATTTTTATATTTTTTTTATAAAAAATAATCAGTTTTTTTAAAACAATTTTTTATAGTTATTTTAATTATTTACAGTTTCTTATCGTTATTTTAATTATTTACATTTTGTTTCTAAAATTTAAATTTTGACAATTTTTAAATGACAATGATGGTTATCTATTTAATCTAATTTTTAAATGTGTTTTAAATCTGTGAAAAAAGATTTTCTCAAAAAACCGTATCTCAACTCTTAGGAAAAAGCAGCAAAATATTAGGATAATATTAAAAAGAAAAAAATATATTTAAAGTTTCATATTTCGTAAAGCTTAACTATGCTATTGAATCAGTAGTCTATATAATAATTAAATTAAACATAAAGTATATATTTAGATTAATTTAATTTAAATTAAGAATTAAGAATATATTTATATTAGTATTTTTATTTTTTTTATAAAAAAAAAAGAGGAAAAAAATAAACTAAATTATTACTACCTTAGTGCACGTCTCTTCCCCCATTTCCCCACCTACTCACAAACACATATAAATATATTGTATTTATAGAAAATTATTATACCGTGTATATAAATAAAAATATACATTTCTACTACTTAATTATAAGTGTGGATAACCACACAGGTGGCGGTCAACATGCCTACTTCACTTGTGTGGTTCCACACTTCTACTGTCTTTTTTCTCTGTTTTAATTTATGTCTTATTTTTTAAAAAATTATATATTTAAAATTGTGTAAAAAATACTATAAATCATGATAATTGACAATTTAAAATATTTTTGAAAAACATATAAAAAATTTCAATTTCTTATAATTTTTTTTGGATTAATTTATAAAATTAATCTATTTGTGTCATCTACTACTTAATTATAAGTGTGGATAACCACACAGGTGGCGGTCACCTGTGTGGTTCCACATTTCTACTGTTTTAATTATTTCCTCCGTTTTAATTTGTTTGTCTTATTTTTTTAAAAAATTATATATTTAAAATTGTGTAAAAAATACTATAAATCATGATAATTGACAACTTAAAATATTTTTGAAAAACATATAAAAATTCAATTTCTTATAATTTTTTTTGATTAATTCATAAAATTAATCTATTTGTATCACATAAAATGGGACAAAAGAAGTAACATGTATTATTTAATTTGGAAACTACATAGAAAGTATTGTAAATCTTAATAATTAACAACATTTGATTGACTCTTGAAATTCTATTTGTGCTACATACATTGGGATAAGAGAAGTAACATATATTATTAAAAATTTACGTAAAAAGTGCTATAAATTACAATAATCAAAAGAAGTAACATGTAATATTTAATTTGGAAACTACGTAGAAAGTAATTGTAATACTCAATAATTAACAACATTTGATTGACTCTTGAAATTCAATCTGTGCTACATACATTGGGACAAGAGAAGTCATACATATTATTTAAAAATTACATAAAAATACTATAAATTACAATAATTAACAACTTAAAATATTTAAAAATCATATTAAAATTTAATTGACTATCTAAATTCTGTTTATGTCACATAAAGTGAGACAAAAAAATAACAGATATTGGGCCCGTGCTAGCACGGGCACCGGTGCCTAGTATACATATATTAGTGGGGAAAAGGCAGTGCTCAATATTTATTCACAAAGTTATTTTTTAAAATAGTGTTGACTAAATAATTTTAATTTTTTTAAAAATCTAAAATGCTTGAATTACAAATATGGTGTTTGGACAAGTTAGCTTTGTTGGTCTGATTGAGGATGAATTGGTTCCAAGTTGATTTGTCTATTTTACTTCTCCTTTGTGTTTGCTCAGTTTCATCTTCACATCCTAATTGGTAAACTGTCTTCCCAAAGTTAGATTTGCTAATTGAGAATTGTAGACCTTTGCACATTCATGGATATTCCTTCTAAATAAGGCAGGCAGCTAATAACATACCATAACCTTCTTGTCCCTCCATTTTGAAATTTTTATTGCAATGTAATTTCATTTCCTTGTATTGGAAAATTCATTCTTTTTTGGCGATTACGTTCAGTTCCTATTTATATGTTTTTCTTACTGAAAATAAATATTACTTAAGTTCTTGTCCTTTCACAAAACTAATGCATAAATGATACTTTCATTATTCCTAATTGTTTGTCCAATTTTTCTTTTTTAGTTGTTCATTTTGACAAATCAAGAAAGGACAATTTTTTTTTACCTATTATATCCTCAATTAATTAATTTTGAAAAAGGTAAAACTTGTGTGAAAATCTAAAATTTTTAATTCACCAATTTCATAATTAATATGAATAAAATGGTAAACTCACTATGTCAATCATTGTTTTCTTAAAAGGTGTGTTGTGTGTGTGTCAATTCAAAAGTGGACAAGTAATTAGGGACAAATGGAATAAAGTATTATTTTTCCTATTTTACTCATGAGAGTTATTAGTCTTGAAAGTATGTATTTGACCAACATAGAAAAAACTAAGTAATTAATTCATGTTTATTGGTCAAATTAATTAATCAAAAATAAATTAATTCATGTTTATTGATTGAAAATCTGACTTTAAGTGAACACTAAATAATTATAAACTTACTTAATTTTTTAATAGAGTAAAGTCTAAAATAGTGATAACTAAATAGAAATGAAGGGAGTATTAAATGACATTATTGGAATACATACACAAGGCTAACATAAATAATAGGAAAAATTACAGAAATCCCACATTTTAGTTTACTTATTACCATTATCCCTATAAGTTTTACAAATTTTCAAAATTCCTCATTTTTGCGCATCAGATTAGTGTATCTCGCGCATCAGATTAATGTATCAGCGCTTATAGTATTGT